TCCCCTTCCTCCGGTGTCGGCCCCAAAACCCCCGTCCCAAATCATCAAAACTTTGCCCCTAGTACCCTTCCCCTCCCCTCTCCCACTTCCCCTCTCCCCCCCCCCCCCCCCCTCTCTCCCTTCCCCTCCCCTGTGCCCCTTCCCTTCGCTCCTCCCCTTACCCTCCCCTCTTGCCCTCTTCCTCACCCTCTCCCCCTTCACCCGGCCTCTCCCGCAAAAGCCTACGTAGCCGCACTGCCTCTCTCGTGTTAGACCTCAATGTCCATCCTGACACGCGCAATCGTTCTCCTTTGCCATAACCAAACTGAAATGGCGCCGATCTTACCCTTTCTCCATCCCCCTCCTTTCTCCTTCCCCCTCCTGCCTCCTCCTCCTCCTCCTCCTCCTCCTCCTCCTCCTCCTTCCCATCATCATCATTATCATCCTCCTTTCCAAGGACTGGTAGCACTACCGGTACTCGTAGCTTTTCCCTGGGACTGATACTTCCACTCCTCCCTTTTCCCTTGGACTGATACTTCCACTCCTCGCTGCGCTTCTACCACTTCCTCTAGTGTTTTTGTCGAGATATCTCAGCTGTTGTCCTCTTCACGGTACTGCTTTGTTTTCTCATATCCTCATCCTCCTCCTCTCCCTCCTCCTCCTCCTCCTCCCAATCTACATTTGTCAACCGAACTGGACGTGGATGGCTCAAGGACTGAAATTTTATATAATATATTATCACATGATATCAGAGCGCCAAAGCGACAAAACAGAAAGAAAACAAGGAAAACAAGAAAAACTTAATTCGTTTTTAATCTTCTTCATACAACTCCCCCTGTTCAGAACCTCTTATATCTGAACATCCCAATAACAACAGAATGCATTACACATTCAGTTTTACCTGCCTGGCTCAAGGACTGAATTTTTTTTTATATAATATATCTGAACATCCCAATAACAACTAATACATTACACCTTCAGTTTTACTTGCCTTAGTGGATTGAAAGGCCAAGGTCCCACTATAGCAAAGAGAATTGGCATTAAACGGTTGAATCTAGACGTGCTTGTGAAGAGGTGCAAAGAGTCGCTGCTTTTCTGCATCTCCGCATAAAACACATCCAGATTCAGGCCCTTACTCCAATCACCTTTGACAGTGGGACTGCGCCCGAGGACTGGAAAGTAGACCTTTCTGTGCTTTCGATTATTACAAAAGAAAAAAGAAGAAAAAGGGAGTGTTTCGTCGTCGGTACGCAGATTGACATAACCCAGCCTATGTGGCTGAATGGTACACCCATGAGCTGTTAATAAACAGACCTTCGTTCAAATCCTGACAGACTCCGATGGATTAAAATTATAGCTCGGAATTGCCTGGGCCCAGTCAGCTGGACGATGATACCTCAAAGGCCATCGTCCTGAAAAAAAAAAAAAAAAAAAAAAACATATTAATATTCTTAGATTATCATTTCAACTGGCGAAAGAGAATTGACCAGATAACACACTTGCGCAAAACCCGCTCCTTCGTTTCTCCCTAATTGGGAAAAAAAGAGGGGCGTTTTTTTGGGGTTTTTTCGATTCTTTCTGATTATTATAAAAAATAAAAAAAGCGGCGATTTCGGGAAAACTTCTCAGGTACATCCAAACTCCTCCACTTTTGCCTGAGATGCTACGCCCGGGTATTCTGCATCTGTATGATGCAGGCAGCTGGCCGGAGGCCGACCCGACCAGGTGCATTCGTAAGCATCTGAGCCATAATCCCGCGCAGATGCAGGATTCGCGGCGGTCGTATCTCAGGCAAAAGGGAAAAAACGTCGGAGTACGTCCAGGTGAAATCGGTAATATTCCTGGTTTTTTTTTTGTTTTTTTTTTTTGTTTTTTTGGTTCGGAAAGTGCCACCGTATGTGTGCGCCCGGGCTTCGAAGGCTGGCCAGGAAATCAGCCTGACCATAACGATCTTTTTTTTCTTTTTTTTTAAGCTGCATCGGGGGACAACAGGCTGACCATAACGAACTGAGATTCATTCGAAAGGAGCAAAAGAAGATAAAAGAGAGAAACTGTGCATTTTCCTTCTTCTTCCCAAAAAACAGCAAAAGAAAAAAATATATATATATTTTCTCTGCGAGAAATCAATAGTACAAAAATCATACTACTAAAAATCGTAATTATTTTATTTTTTTTATCGTATACGGATTTTTATGGGCATCATTGCACCACTATAGTAGGCGAATGGGAAAATGGCGAATAGGAAACAGAGGACTTAAGTGCAAAAATCAATGCATATACGCGTGCATGCATAGTATGACACATAACATACGCGTATAGAAATACTATATATACACGTATAGCGTACAGAAATACTATATAGAAATACAAGTATAACGCATATAAATACCACATATACACGTTTATAAATACTATAAATGTACGTATATATCGTCATAGAGAACTACCCGGTAAACCAGACGAGGGCCTGTGCCAGACTGACCCATTCTCAAACTCTAAATACGGTAAGACTTTTTTTTTTTTTTTTGAAATAGGGTAAGATTTTTTTATTTTTATTTTTTTTAAATAGGGTAAGATTTCGGGGTTGCTAAGAAGCAAAGAACAAGAAAAAACAAAAACAAAAAATTCCCTTCGCATATCGCCTACCAGCTGCCAGACAGCCAGCCAGCTAGCCAGGGAGATCGCTAACCCGATCCCTACCCGCCCCTTTGTGGCTCTTCCTTCACTCTCCTCCCAGATTCGCATTTTTTTCCCCCTCCCTCCCTTATCCCATTCTCCCCCTCTCCCTCTCACCGGAGTATCTTCTTCGCTCTCTATTCTCCTGATCGCGCACTTAAGGGCTTCTTCCTCCAAGGACAGATCCAACGCGTCCGCCATAGCCGATTCGGACACGGAGATCGAAGAAGAAGAAGAAGGAGGAGAAGAAGCGGCAGCAGCAGAAGCCGTTAACGAGACGTCCATCGACATATCCGTGAGCTTCGCACGGCGCGAATCGAGCGAAGAGAAGATCGCCATCGCCGGAGACGTACTCACCGAGGAGGCATATCCACAGCCTTGTCTCCTTCCTCCCTCATCTCCTCCAAAAGCGGCACCATGTCCCGACCTCCAGGTGACTCTGTAGCGTAAAGGAGAAGAACCCGAAGGTGTCACGTGGAAGATACCAAGTCCATTCATCCAACGGCTAGAAACAGTGGGAATGCTGCAGGGCTTCACCCCCTTGCCGCCAATTTCCCGGCAAAATCTAGGGTCGCTCACAAGACTGGCGTCGTTGGCGCCTCCTCTACCTCTTCTTCGACACCGATTTCCCCGCGTCAACGTTATTGATGACGTCAACGAAGACGCGTGAGATGCGATCGCCGCCGGCGGCGGCGGCGGCGGCGCTTGTACCTTTCGTGCGAGCAAGCGGCTGACGCCTACAGAGGACGTGATCGCGCGCCCTCCTCCTCGCCCACGCGATAACCGAGCGACACGTGTCATCGTCACAGACCTGATTCGCAGCGCGCCATCAACCGATCCGGCCATCCTGTAAGTCAAGGTGGCGCGGGGTCCGGACAAGGTAACGGACTCCTGGAGCATACTGAGCGGCGGGGTGAGGAAGAAGCGCCTCGCGCTCATCACTAGACTAATCTAGACTCGTCTGCTTTTCACAGCTGGGCGCGCGTCGTTGAACCGACACGTGGCGGCGATTCCGGACGACGCGGCGGTCCGACTGGCACGACCTTGCAAAACCAAATGCCCGCCAAAGCGATTTCAGATTTCAGTTCCCGCGCGCACACAAGCTCGCAGTTTCCCGCTCCCGCACCGGGAAAAACAAAACCATCGAAAACACAAAAAAAACACGTTTTCAACAACACACACCTCCAGTTGTGTGCCACGTCATCCACGCCGTGGGCAATGGCGGACGACTCACAACCCCGAAAAAGCACATCGCACCGTCAGCAGGAAATTGAAGCGGCCGGGATCAGAACTCACGATCTTCAGCTTAGCGGCCGGATCCCGCTCTGGGGCTGGTAGGTCCCACTTGCACGAGTTAAGAGATACTGACTGTAGATAGCAAAGATCAACGGCCGAAATCTCCTAATTTGCGCAAGTGGGACCTTTCCCCTGGATCCTAAAAAGTGCTCGCGGTGATCGCAAGGATCCCGGACGACCACGTGCTCTCCACGCGGGGAGGCGCATACGCCAGCACAATCCTAATCATGACGCGTGGCACACTGCAGGACGATTGCCCGCTAAACGAAATGTGAAGCGGCCCGGTCCCAACAAAAAAGTGCGGGGAGGGAACAGTAACCGCGATCCAGTACCGTCTTCCCCCGAGTAAACGAAAGGTCATTATAGCTGTATTGGGAGTACAAGGAAGTCTAAATACAGCTGCAATGACCGTGCGTTGTATTCGGGGGAAAAAGGTACCTCAATAGTACGTGGAAGCGTGTTCGAATCCCTGTCGGGTTAGATTTTTTTTGGGGGGGGCGGCTATACAACAAGCTCAATGGTTTTGTTTTTTTTTCCTGTCGTGGAAGCCAGTCACTGTGCCCAACCAGTTCAATTACCTGTCGAATCTGGACAGGACGGCCTTTTAGGCCTTTTTTTTACGGGAACCCCGTAGCAGCCACATCTGGCAACTCTTCATTTTATTTTTTATTGCTTTTTATTATTTTTATTTTTTTAACGTGGAAGTGCCCGTATGCCACTCCAATTGTGAAAAAAGAAAAACCAGAACAATTGTATTCGTGCCATTTATAATTGGTAACAGAAAGACATCGCCCATAGCTAACCCCTCGCCCTCCCCCTCTCCCCCTCCCGTCCCGGCAGTCAACAGCCAGGGAATCCTCCCGGCCAGCAGTTAAAAAAAAAAAAAAAAAAAAAAAAAAAAAAAAAAAAAGAGAGACTAAATATAACAATAAAACAGAGAAATTGGAAACACACACACAAAAAAAAAAAAAACAAAGCACACCCCGCGTGCGCAACCCAATCAGATAGAGATGGTTTTGCAATACAGAAGGGCCAGGGGGGCCGGATCCCTCATCTTCTACCAGGGGGCAATGAGGCACAACTTGAACAGGCATGAATCCGTACACACGTCCAGGGGGGAAAAAGCCCCCGGTATCCCCGCAATAGAGGCGGCCCTCCCTCACATCCAGCGTGCCCCCCCTCACATCCAGTGTGCCCCCCCCCCCTGACATGACCCGCCCAAGCCAGCTCCAATGGCCCGGCCTGTCGGGGACATCACACACGGGAACCATCACGACTGAGAACAAGGGGAGCCCCGACTCGACCCCCTCAAACTCGCAAGCCCCCCGAGATCAGAAGATGGAAGAATCAGAGGAGGGGGAACTGGAGATGGCAGAAGAAGAAGAGAGCGAGGACGAGGAGGAAATACTAACAGAAGAAGAAAAATGCAGTGAGAACAGGAAACTTGAACAAAAGCAACCAGCTGTGCCAGAAAAAGAACCAAAAGGAAAATCACTCACCCCTACATGGGCACAGCGAGTAAGAAACACTATCCAGGAGAAGAACCTCACGATCAAACGAAACTCACAAGGATCACAGGAAGGGTTAGAGGAGTCCCTCCAAGTCCCTCTCTGCAACCTCTCTTCTGCAAGGCCATCCTTCCTCACTCTCTTTCTTCCATCAGAAAAACGATTGGTAGACCAGGGGGGAAGGAAAACTGTGATGCGAACATACCCAGAAGACAAGCTGGAGGCAAGAAATGACACATATACCAAACACGCAAGCAATTGGTTGTTCCACGGAGAGGCTGCAAACAGATCCGTTAACGAAAAAATAAAATGGATTTGCAGAAAGCTCGAGGAGATGAAGGGCAGTCCGAAAGCGGTTCAGGAGTTCTTCCTGATTCAGCCCATCACATCAACTGTGTTCACTGTGTTGAGCCTCTTCACGCAAGATCAACAGAAGATGGATGGGTGAAAGAAATTAAAATGGGAAAAATCAGATGTCTGCATCTACCCATGGCAACCCAAAAGGCAGACCCCGGAGGAGAAGAGAAAACAATTAATGAGGGATTATTTATGGGTTGAATTTAGGCATATCCCGGTGGAAGTGCAAGCTGCTTTCATTTATGAATTTGGACAACACTTCAACATTGTCGATTTTATCGACCCACTTCCATCATATGTAGCAAAACGAGATGATTATCTGATGATGGCATTGGATATGCCCAAGGACCAGTGGTTTTCCATCGACGACATCATCCCTTGCAGAATGGGGGGGAAGGTCTACCAAATTCACACGGCCTATAAATTCAAGCCGTGGTGCTTCAAATGCAGGGCGTACGGCCACTTGTGCACGGAAACAGCCTGTCCTCTGCACCCTGATAAAAGAAGGCCCACAACAGGTAGGCTCCAACAAGATTACCGCAGGCCCAACAAATGGTACCCTGCAGACAGGGGTTATGATGGATGGGTCTACCTAGAAGACCTCAACCAAAATGGACAAGCCAGGGGTTGGACATAGGAAGGGCGCGGTGATCCGTATGGCTATCCAGGCCACCGGATGATTGGACCCCACCAAAAAGAAAAAGCGACAAACAACCGGATGAGCCAGACCCCGCAAGTTCGAAGGGCCCGGAGGCACCGCCCCCCCCCCTCTAGCGGGATAAACAAGCAAAATACAATGCAGAGTCTGCAACCCCGCGAGAGACAGAACCCGAAGCACTGAGGCTGAGGTCCGGCCGCGAAAGAGTATATCCCGAAGCGACTATTGCTGCCAGAAGATGGAAAAGGGGAAACTCAACAGAATGTTGGCCAACCAAACAAGGTCCTCCCTCAGGGGACAACATCACAAAAGCACCAGATGGATGAGCATAGAGCGGCAGACATTCTCGAAGAGGCCTTTGGCCCGGAACCCATGGAGATAGAGACCGTTCTTGGAGTTCCGGCCCCACCTTCCCCTCCCGAAGTTGAAATGGTTGATGTCGGCGACAATGACGGCAGCTAACCAACACAGGAAAAGGAGAGTGCGACACAAAGGGATGGCTTGTAGGAGGTGGCAGATTGGTTAATGGAAAGTCTGCTCCGGAAATACGGAAACGGGAATGAGGAATTTTGGGACGAGGTGTACAGGGACCTGATCCCCCTGCTCCAAAGCAGCTCGAGCCTTCAAAGTGCTTTAACCTGGGGACTGCCAGACGGGATGTCCTGACCTGAAATCTGTGGCAAAATCCTGCACATAGTACTCACCCGTTTCCACCCTGTGATCTCAGAGAGGGAGAAAGATTGGGGCGAAAAAATGGGCACCCCCAAAGAGACCCGGAAACCAGCTCACAAAATTCAGGGGTAGAGGGCACAAACGAGCACGACCCGGAGAGTCACTCACGGCAACAACAAAGCAGCAAAGAAGGGGGCAAAAACCAGCAGCAAAAAAACAAAAAAAAGGAGCTCACGCAGACTGGAAAAGGAGAAGAGGGAAAGGAAGCCCCACCTCGGAACCGGGGAGGAAAAAAACAGCAGAACGAGCACACACAGACTGAGAAAGGAAAAGAGGGAGGGGATGCCTCATCCCAGAGCAAATGCGAAAAATCAGAAATGGGGAAAAATATAGTTCAGGGGGAATGTGGTATATCTCAGGATTCAGTAAGCATGGGGCAGGGACAGACTGGGAAGGAGAAGAGGGAGGGGATGCCTCACCCCGGCGCAAATGCGAAAAATCAGAAATTGGAAAAAATATAGTTCAGGGGGAATGTGGTATATCCCGGGATTCAGTAAGCATGGGAAAGGGACCGGGAACGGAGAACCAAACAGAAGAGGCCACGTTAGAGGGCCTATGCCTGGCCTTGGCAGCATGGAACCCAGCGGTACCGAAAGAACAGACTTCTCCTCACAGTCCCCCCCCCCTCCTAAGCCCCTGGAACACAATCTTGTCAGCAAACGGCAAAAAATCCGCCACCTGGTGGAATTGACGACGACTGATTCTCCGCCCTCAAATAAGGGAATCATCTTTCTTCCGCTGCGACCGAAAGGAAAACAATGGGAGATGGGCTTGTTGACTTCGCCGGGAGCGGCTCATGGGGAAATCACCCTTCACAGGCGTTCGTCCGTTTTCCTTGCACTGACCTCCTCACTGGTAGTTGGGTGCTTCGGAACACAAACATAACGCCGCTGATCCGGGACCATCTCCCGACGGGTGCTTCCTCGGCCATGGTCCTCACACACGGTCAACATAGATTGGCCTCCAAGGACATCCTCCTGAGGTATGATCACGCCAAACCAGATGACCTCATATGCCTTGACCACAACGCCCTGATGGAATTGCAAATTCTGAAAATAAAATCTGGCGATCTGTGGTCTGCACCCGAGATTAGCGCCTTTTTAGTTAAACTGCTTAGGAATGACACACTGCAGAACGGAGACACCTGGAACTCTCAGGAATGGATACCATTGTAAACCAGGGAACCAAGACTGAATATAACAAAAAGAATGAATCTGGTGGATGCCCTATACGGAAGAGACAAGGTCTGAAAGCTCTGCAAAAGACAGGCAGACCTTGACTTGTGGTCACTCAACGTGAATGGCCTGGCTTCAGCAGAGCCCCCCAAAAGACAAACCATCATAGACCAATTGAAGGGGGGAGGGGGGAGAACCTGGCCC